GGCTACTATGCTTCTAACCACAAGTCGAGAGCTGTAGTTCTAACCATGTAAGTTTGTGATGCTGTTTGCAAATGTTCATTTGAACTACGGTTTCGGGACATACCGAATTGTTGAACTATATGGAACTGGCGACCATAGTTGGCCATGGCTGTGTTCGAAATCGCCCCCTGCACCCCCTGCATTCACTATTCCGTAGTCCGCTAAGATAGTTCACTTGTGAGCGAATGAAAATGTATGAGTGAATTCAGATACTGAATGCGCTGGAAGGGCTGCCACTTTTGCATAGTTTGTGCTCGCTGTTTAATAATTATTTGAAACTTTGCAAGGTCTGTGTTGTGTGAGAGTCAACGTAATGGGAGAATAACCTCTAGTGGCAATCGGCCTGAAGTCCACGGACTGGATTCGTGACAGTCATTGTCAAGTATTTATTAATCCTTGTTAACATTAGTTCATAAATGGTAATTGTTAGTTCATGTTAGCTTATAGGTCCAATAAATAATATTTACAGATATAACTGTTTATTTTAATAACGAATTATTAAATGTTAGTAAATTAACATTAACTAAGATTACTAAATGCAGTTTTTATTGTTAGTTCATGTTAACAAATGGAACCTTACTGTAAAATGTTAAAAAAAAAAAAATCTCATCATTTACTCACCCCTCAAGTTTTTCCAAATGAATCCTTCTGCTGAACACAAAATATATTTTGAAGAATATGGGTAACCAACAGTTTCTGACTTAACATAGTATGGGGAACAAATACTATGGAAGGCAACGGGGACCCGAAACTGTTTGGTAATGCATTTTGAAGAATATGGGTAACCAGACAGTTGCTGGTAGCCACTGACTTCCATAGTATGAAAAAAAATACTATGGAAGGCAATGGGGACCAGACACGGTTTGGCAACCCACATTCTTCAAAATATATGTTGTGTTCAGAAGAAGAAAGTAATTCATACATGTATGGAACAACTTGAGGGTGAGTAAACGGTGACAGAATTTTCATTTTTGGGTGAACTAAGTTTAATAGAAATACTATTTTTCTATTTAAACGCGTTTCCTAAATGTAAAGGCAAAGTAGAAAATACTAAGCTGAGCTGCCTGTTTGGCTGAACATTGCCTGAAAGAGAAAGACTGCTCTGGTAGGGAGCAGCAATGCGTGACACAGGAGAGGCTGTGGTGGGCGCGCTTGTCCCGGGGCTACGGCCACACTCAGATCTTTGTTGCGTTCGCTCTGCGTGAGACGAGGCAGAGGCACTTTCCTGAGAGAGTGAGAGAGAGAGGGAGAGGGAGGTATTAGTTTTACTCTACCCACTGCTTCCCACTCCAGCTGCATGACTAGCACTGCAGGAGTGCCCCAGAAGACTGCCCGAAAAAAGAAATGCCAGAGAGCGAATAGAGAAAGATGTCCGATTTCGCAGGCGCTCAGGAATGTTGCGAGCTGTGTGAGATTTCCAAACAAACACCGAAGTGCCGCTCTCTCCTTTCTGCCCCGAGGCACAGCCCCAGCTCTCCTTCACATGCTCACCTCCCACCGCCGCCTCAGCACAACAAGCTTCCCAGCAGTCTGGATGATCTGTTTCGCTAATGCGTCCATTCTTTGGTTGTTTTTTAAATTGCAGTGCTGTTTAACGCATCTCTTGTTTGTTTCTGGACTGTGTCCAGCCCCTTCCCCCCTCCCACCCCCATCCAAAGTGTCAGATTATGGGACATGCAGTACTTTGACTATCCCTCTGCTTTCAAGAGCATATGGTTGTCAGTGAAAAGCTGAGCCTGACAAGATGACACAAAAAAAACTGTACTATCTATCTGCCTTTGACCCAGTAGTACTAGAGTGAGAGCGAGGGACCACAAAGCTCCAACTGAACCCTCATGCACAGAGATCCATCTGAACACTGGCAGGCACCAGTGAATTAGAGGAGGAGAAACTCAAGAGCCAAATGAATAGGATTGTCATCAGAGGAACAGGTGTGGCCAAATACTGATGTTTTCATAGGAGATGCTGATGAGACTGATCCGCTATGGTACAATGTAAAAATGTTGGCTCTCGTCAGGGATTCCTAAAGACGAACCATCAGCCCAACTGCGCATGTTAAGAGTGTCAAGCACACAAATGACTATGAAACAATGAACAGATGCATAGTGATGTAGCAAAGAAGGAATCTAGCGTTCTCAAATCATTTAGAGATGAACGTGTATGAGAAAAACCTACAATGAAAGATTACCATCTAGTGGTCATCTGGCTGCATTGCAGACTTGACAGAATAAGTGTTTATCTGTTACTCTCATATATTCAGAAAATGTTTGCTTGTGAATGAGTCATAAATCTAGAAGTGATTTAGATCTGATGATTATTGTGTAGTAACGTAAGTAACATATGCTTATCAACGTTGCTTAGCGTACCTTAAAGGGTCAGTAAATTATGACAAAGCTGTACTACTTTCTTTCTGTATTACTTTCTTCTGAACACAAAAGGGAATATTTTGAAGAATTCCAGTCTTTTCCATGCAGGAAAAAAGAATCATATACAACTGCACTGTAAGTCTTCTGATAACATAATAGCTTAATGTTAGGAGTGACCTGAAAATGATATTTTACATGTTATACACTACAATTTTTTAAAAAGAAAGCAATACTTTTATCCAGCAAGGATGCATTAAAATTGATCAAACGTGACAGTAAAGACTTTTACAATGTTACAAAACATTGCTGTTTTTTCCCATTTATCAAAGAAAAATCTATCATGGTTTCCACAGAAATTATTAAGCAGTACAACTGTTTTTGACAGTTTTTTATATTAATAAATGTTTCTTGAGCGCCAAATCAACATACTGAATGAAAATTATTTGTGAAGGATCGTGTGACAATGGCTGTTGAAAATTCTGCTTTGATTGCATCATAATAATATTAAAATAAAACAGTTATTTTAAGTTGTAATAATATGTCAAAAATATAAATGAAGTCTTATTGAGCATAAGAGACATCTTTTCGAAAACATGAACAAATCTTACAGACCCCAAACCTTTGAAAGAGTACTGCATGTGTATATTCAAACTTGGTCCCTCAATGACACCAAATGCCATTTTTACCTGCTTGTCTCTTAACCATAAGAATGCAGGTTTAAATTGTAATGGTGAGGAAACAGAATTTAATTTTCGGAATAAATATTTTTAGTAAAAGCTGCCAAATGACAGCTGTTTGGTATTTCTGTCCCTTTCAGTGTTTGATAGGTTGGAGCACATAGTGAAAAAGACCCATTTATAATCACTGTTTGAATCTGTACTTAAATGCAAATGTATTCTTTGAACAGCAATACAGTGTATACATCAACTTGAATGAGGTAACAATATTACTGCACTGCTGAATGTGCTGTTTGTGCTTGCATAACTTTAGCCTGCCCTGACCTCTATGGGAAGAATAAGGTATTGCAAAACTCTAGAAATGCAAAAACAGTTCAGCCCCCTGAACCAATGGGAGTTCCCTGCAGCTGTGTTTTTCACCAGCAAGAAAAAGCCGCATTAATGTCTTTCCGCAGTGTCAGTTCAAAGCTGACTGCCTGTTGCACATCGTTGGTTCAGCTCTCGGTCAGTGTTGCCCTGGAACATGTAGACTTGTGGAAAAAAGTAGATAAGATAACTATATATCTTTTAACACCGCAATATAAAATAAAGCTAATGGCATTATATTAGATGCACCCAAGAGTTGGGTTTCTTCAAATCAACTGAAAGATGATCACATATGAATATTATATTCAACATAACAGGATAAATGCTACTAATGGTAACGTTCTGACTTCACCATCAGCCTTGGCTGTTTAATGGTTTACTATTACAAAAATTGTGATTTTGTTTATTGACTTTTTATACCATTTCTGTCTAATAGCCAGTTATCACAATTTTATGTGAAGTACCAATAACGGTAATAAATGGTATTTTATTATAGCTGATACAATGGTTACCGTGGTCATTTTGGTAGACTGTTCATTACCTTGCTGAAAAACAACAGCTTAAACCAAGCTGGTTTGCTGTTTTTAACTGGTCTGTTGGCCAGTTTTAAAGGGGTTTTGGCTGGTCAGGCTGGAAGACCTTAGCGTTTTTCTTTCTTTCTTTCTTTCTTTCTTTCAGCAGAGAACCCTTGTTTGAAAGACAACATAGAAATATCATATTTACTGCAATGATTTGTGCAAAATTGTTGTCATATATAATAAGTATAGTTGCTCTGTAATACTGATTAATTAATTACTATTTTAATAACTAATTACATCAACAGATGATTACTAATCAATCACTTAAATTCTATTGCATTTCTGATTATACTAAAAATACTAATAAAAAAAATACTAAATCCCATATCAGCCTTGACCAGTTGAACAATATGAAACTGCTTGTAATTATTTCAAATGAATTTTCAAATTAATTCTGCCTTTAATTATTTCAAATAAATAATATGCATTTGAATAAAGTATAGAGTATTTAAAAGGAGAAGGTTACATTAAAAACATACATTTTAACATTAGACATTTTGACATTAGAAATGTTAATAGAATTTAGAATTGTTCTGTAGTCTATGCAGTATCTAATGCAATTACATCAGAAGTAACTATAATTAAATTTCAGAAAAATTAGGAGTAATCCCCTACTTGTTCAAGGGGACTTGTTGAAGTAATTGGTAAAAACAATTCTCATTTTTTGCATTCATAATAACTTTTGTTTAAAGATTGAAATACCGTATTTACTACAGCCATATTTGGAAATATGCTGTATATGTTAAATGTCTTTTTATTGACAGTTTTTGGCTAATTCCAAATTCTGTTTTTGTTGAAGTGTAATTAACTACAGTATAATTGTGAAAATCATTATTCATAACTCCCATTTAAAAGAGCACAGAAACTTATTTAGAAAAATAAAATTCACCGCTCCCCTTAAAAACGGGTAGGGCGACGATGCGGGACACATTTTTACGGACCTGAGTGGCATTTCAACTTGATTATCAGTCATGGCAAAGAGCTAGCTGTGCGTTTTCGGGAAAGCCCTTCACCTCCACCTGATGGCAGCATCACGCAGCCCCTACACACGGGTGCGTGGGAGTTCCCCGCTTCGCCATGTCGGGGTGGTGCAACGCGCTGAAAGGATCTCCCGAGCGCGCGCGCTCTCTCTCCTTTCTCTCCACCGCCTCTACCCCATCAGCTCCATCCTCCCCCTCACGACAGTCTCAACAGCAGCAGCATCAGCATCAGCATCAGCATCGTCCTCCTCCACCCTCTCTAGGCAGCAGCAGACACGGAGGAGACGCATCCGAGTGATGCCACTGCACCAACCGCATCTCGCCACCGCGACAACACGCCAAGCATAACGCGCTTCTTTTGCGAGGAGGGAGAAACACATTCGCCTGGAGACATCCACTGCCCATGAAGATGTCTAACGCTGACATGGTCCTGAACTCCACCGATCGGGTAGTGAAATGTAAGTGTAGGCTACACCCCCCCCCCCCTCCCCATTTTACCTGCATCCGTTATTTATGTACTAAAAATGTTATCACAGCTAATTAAGACGTATCGATTGCATATATGAATGTGGTCAGTTCATGTTTAGAACAGCAAGGTTTTGAGATAAGAGATCGTTGCGATGATTTTCTCTGCAACGGATTGATGTTAATTGAGTCATGGGCAGGGGAGATGTGTTAAATAAGGCAGATCCAGTGGAGGCGGTGATGCAGCAGGATTTAGGTGGCATCACGCAGTCCTCCATGTATTCTTCAGAGACAATGAAGCAATAAGGTTTTCAGTTCATATTTAAGCGGTTTGCTTTCTCGAGGAAAGCCTTGAGTCTGCAGGTAAATCGAGCTGGAAACTGTCGCGCCCCGTTGCGTCTGATTGATTTGCGCACATTTACTGGTCACGTAGCGCACATTAATATTCACATGTATCCATAGGAACATAAAAGCAGAGCTCACCTAGACTAAATATAAGCCTCAAGGTCTTATATAGAAACTAGACTTAGGTTAATTAAAGGTGCTCTAGGTCAATTTTTACTAAAAAGATTTAACATGAATGACACTTTTCTTGTGAAATAGTATTAAAATAATATATGCACAGTCATGAGATGTTTTATTCTACATAGAGGGGTCTCCACTTCATGGCACTGCCATGTTGGGATCACGTCTTGATACAACTGACCCTGTTACTTATAAAATAATACTTTTGCCAGGATGCTTTACAAAGCATAAATGCAAATGTACATTCTAACAACAACTGACATAACATGAAAACTGAGCTGCGGTGTGGAAGCCCAAAACAACGCAAGCCCAAAAACGAGAAATTTAGAGAAATGGGAAAACACACACACAAACAGCTTCTGTACTGTCAGCATTTAGTGAGAAAATTTAATGCATCCAGGCCAATAGGTGTTAGTATAAAGTCTAAAACACTAGTATTATTTGGATGAATGAGAGCAGATACATGTAAACAACCATTTACTTAGTGTACCTTTAATCTTGACAGTAACAAATAGAAAAGAGCTTCATCATTTTAATAGACACATCATTTATTTTAAATTGGTTAAATTTATGGTGCTGTTGGCTTTCATTGATGCGTTCCGACCCTCTATGACAGCTAATGGGTCACATTTGCACTTTCATGATTTCTCCCTTCTCCTCTCAGGTCGGATACTTTTGTCTTTTTGGTCCAGTGATGGATATATTATATAATTTGTGATATTAATAACAGATATATTCTTGTAGATATGTGTTTGAATCGCAGACTATATAGGTATTCCGCCTCCTCAAAACAGTAAACCCCCAATGTTAATCTTTTTCTTGTTTTTACACAAATTAACACTTCAGCCTAACTGATTGATTTGAATTGCAAAAATCAGTGGGCTTGTGAACTTTTCCAGGAAAACAGTTGCCAGGATATCTCAGTTTGCATGCTAATGTGGCCACATTTAAATGTGTTTTCTACTGCGTTGATTCGATAAATAGTATTAGCATTTAAAACACTCTTTGTGTCAAAGACATAGTCCACCCAAAAATGAAAAATCTGTCATCATTTACTGTTTAAATCCCATATGATTGTCACAAAAATCAGATGTTAGGCTGGTTTACAGCATGAATGTTGTGCATAAACACACATATCAACCTGAAGATCGTTTCAGTCATGTTGTTCAGTCCTGATTTGTTGACGTGAGCATTTTTTGGCAGAACATTTGATTTGTATCTGCCTTTGAATGCAGAATTGTATGACAAGGCCCATTATAAGTCAGGCTTTGATATAAGTCATCTGACCTCTCTAAAAGTTAAGGTTGCATTAGTCATTGGCACACGTAATGAGTCACAGTAGTGACCCCCTCCAACCTCATAGAGGTACTTTAGATCTGGCTGTTTTAACCGTAATGGCATTCTCTGAACTACCTCTGTCTCCTCTCCCCCCTTATGTATAATTGAGGGCTTTTATCATCAACAAAATGCATCAATAAATAACCACATCTAAAATCCCAGTGATGAGGTTAGCTAAGCATTCATATTTAGCAGTGTGCAGCTCCAAACGCAGGAGACAAACAAAGAATTTGTCTCTCCATAGAATCCCCATAGCAGCAAAGCAGGATTTCATAAAACACTGCATGGTGTGTCATTTGCAGAGTCTCATTTACTAAGTGCAACTAGAGTTAGGCCTGTCATTTCTGCGCTGGCATAATGGATTTTAATGGCGCTTTCCATTTAGTGTTTTGATATGCTGGTTTATCGCCTCGTCTCATGGGAGCTGTACTAAGCATCACTCTTTGTATGCGAAATCATTATATTGTAGCCACACTGTTAACATTCTCATACTCGTTTCCAGCTTGCTTATAAATCTGTCTTAATGATCCTGGTATGAAGGCAGAAAAACATTTACAGATTTGCGACAGTGAAATGTTCAAACAGACTAGGGATGTCATGATGCTTCATTCATGTCTGTCTTATAGCAGAAGCTGAATGTTGTAGCTGTTCTGTGGTTGTATTCATTTTTTACAATTTACAATATGTATTATTATTAATATAATATTGTTATTGTTTTATATATTATATTTACAAGGACTGCTTACAGCATTTACATGCAGTAATGGCTTTACATTAATAATACAGTTCTGTTAATATTACCTTGTCTATAATTGCAGTCTTCCATTTTCGCTTAAAACTGAAGGAAGACGATGCTCCACCGCCAACTAAAATTCAGACTGCATTATTATTATTATTATTAATAAATATACTTAATAATAGTGTCTTTTTATTTTAGAATTTAATGTAATGTTTGTATATTAATATAATATACTAAGTATATTTGATTAATAATATTTAATAAATAAAACAAAATAATACATAAAATGTAAAAAAAAACTATAAAAATATGAGTATATTTTTTACACATGTGGTCCTGCCTTCTAGCATGTTGATGTCCTTGTGTTTTGTGCAAAAAATCTGTGACGTGTCAAGAAATTGGCCAAAATTTTGTGAACGCTCCAAACAAACCCAGATCCCTTTAAAGCTAAACTAAACCAGGAATGTGTTGTGAATGCTGTTCAATTATAATGTATATTGATCACACAAGGCATGTTTTTTTTCCGCACTTTTTTATTGTTGGTCTATATACAAATGTGTCAAAAGGGCACACGACTGTAGTTGCGATACTACCGAACTAAATAATACATATAAACTGGCACAGTAGTTTGCTGAGATACTAAACATTGATATAGATGTTTATAGTGTTTCTGGGGAGGATGTGATAGGTAAAGTGAATGTTTAGTGCAGTTACTAGACAGTGTTTTTCAAAAATACAACATGTCAGTCAGTGCTTGGTTTTAAAGCCCAGAGGAGGAAGGGCAAGGGTTGCTTCAGCCTCTGAATTCTGGTGTGTAGATGCTAGCCCACTCACTGTTCTGGGATGCCTTCATGCCAGGCTTTGAACGGCCTAGTTTAGTGAGCCCAATTCTAGGGCATTAACTGTGTTAGTTCTGATGGGGCTTGGCGAGCCACATTGGGCTCAAGAGGTATTGTCAGGATATAAATGGGACACTTAGCGTTGATGGTTCTCTGGGTCATGTTCTGATTAGGACATGTGAAGATTACTACAATTAGTGTTGTTACAATGCTGTTGACCTGACATTGTCATACTTACAAACTAGTAAGGAATGTTGCCAAGTAAGATGTGCTGTCGTTTACTTGTCATTGTGTGGCAAAGTGCCTAATATTCTAACTAAAAGAACAAATTAGATTATTTCATTTTCTGAAAAAAAAAAAGTTGGTGGTGCTTGAAAGAAACTCATTGAAGATACACAATATATCAGTACCATATCAAACACTGGCTGATATTATAGATTTTAATTGATCGGTATTGACCAATATTGGATATTTAATCATGCATACTCACTTTTAAAATTAGACTACCTTTGTCGTCACTTAAAGCTAATCTTTAAAACACTAATAGTTTACTAAATGTACTTTTTACCAAATCTCTAAATAAATCGATTTTTCATGCCATATATTAAAATGGGTAACACTTTACAATACACCTCCTTGGTTAACTAACTACCTTAGTTAGCTACATTAGTTAACATGAACTAACAATGAAAAATTCTTAATCTGTCTTAATATCATTTTTAAAATCAAAACTTGTATCTGTTAAATATTATTTAATGAACCTGTGCTAACATGAACTAACAATGAACAGGTGTATATTTATTAACTAACATTAACAAAGATTCATAAATACTGTAACAAATATATTGTTCATTGTAAGTAAATGCATGTTAAAGGGGTCATATGATGTTGCTAAAAAGAACATTATTTGGTGTAATGAAATGTGTTTTTGCAGTTTAAGGTTCAAAACACACATTATTTTCCACATACTGTACATTATTGTTTCTCCTCTATGCCCCGCCTTTCTGAAACGCGTTGATTTTTACAAAGCTCATCGGTCTGAAAAGCGAGGTGTGCTCTAATTGGCCAGCTATCCAGTGCGTTGTGATTGGCCGAATACCTCAAGCATGTGACGGAAATGTTACACTCCTTACCATATTGTGATGCCGTGTCCCGGAGCGATGAGACAAAACCAATAAAACCCATTAAAAACGAGGCATTTGTTGCATCCAGTGGGGACATAATTACGAATTATAATGATTTATACTGTCTTTTTACGCGTTGCGTTGCATCGCGCCGCGTAAACATAAAACCATGTCTGCATTTGTGATCGGAGAAATGACGCGCTACTCTACACTGCTCAAAACTCGCGTTTGAATCGTTCGAAACACACAGTGTCTTCACAACATGGCGGCGGCGGTGGCAGAACATTTGGGCGACATTATGCAAATCTTCCCACACGGTAACGTAGACATGTGGGGGCGTGTTTAAACGAGGCGTTTTAGGAGGGCGTGGACGAGAAATTAAATCCTCTTATACTGGCCAGAATTTTAATAATCATTGCTGTAATGCT